ATTGCACCATCTCCTAAAATCTACACCTCTCTTAGTGTTTGCCAAATTACAACAACAGCAACAAAACGATTTTGAATGCCACTTTAATGGACTGGGCTCTGACCCCTTAACCCTCAGCAAAGAGGGCCAGCCCAGTGGGGCTGAGATTCAAATCACAGATTGTCATGCTTTTTTCTCAGAAGTGCCCTGAAGATGACGTGCATAAAACACCTAGTCTGTGCACTCTGCTCACCTGCACTGGGACAGGTGCACAGGATGCCACCGCTGTCTCAGGTGGACATTCTGTCTGGTTTATTCATAATTACAAAGTAACTGGTAACGGTAGTTTTCCTTTCCTGGCATTAAGTGTCTCACCTCTGAGACCCACTATCTGAGGGTGTGACCCCTGCCCACCATTATCACAGCCTCATGGTGTCCACCAGGCTGTGAAGGTACAATTGCCCCCCCGCACAGCTTTCACTTTCCAGGAGGCTCTAACGGCCTTGCCTGAAGGAATCTACAGTAGACTCTTCATCTGGTACCTCCAGCCTGGCTTCTGACCCTTAATTTTACTGGTCCTTTCGATCTTAGGAGTAGCTCACCACCTACTTTATAAGAAAGCTGCTCTTAGACTCAAAAATTCTATGGGCAGCACAGGTCAGGCCTAGTTTTCTTAGCATCCCCAGTACTAGTCAAGAGCCTTCCAAAAAGCAGATGCTAAATCAATATTTGGACAAGTAAAGAGCCAGTGTACAAGAAGTCAAACTTACTAGGATCTCATTTCTCTTACTTCTTGAACAAGCCAAGCCAAACCAGGTACGTTTACTGCAATTTTACCAAGAAACCGAAAGGAATAAACAACTGTTGACTACATTTTACTCTTTTTTCACATCTCATGATTGCACAGACTTTACTGTGTGGTAATTTCCTTTTTCACAAAGATTCTTATTCCAACCTTATGCTACCTTGTTCTGGATAACAAGAAGTGTTCCAAAGCTTTTCACTTTGTTAGGTAATACCAAAGTTCCTAGTTTTCAACCTGATAAAGTGCAATAAATATGTCATCCTTGTCACTCATAAACTTGGGTTCTGGAGCTAAATAAAACCCTAAGTGAAAGGAACAATCTTTAAACTAGAATAATTAAAAAGCTAAATCTCCAATTTTCAGATGTTGTCCAGGAACACAAACATGTTATGCACTGTGTTCTCAGGAGCCCCTCCTTGGCTTCTCACTAGTTACAAGATTGCTGTCTTTCTTTAACCAGAAGGTAAAGCCTCCGCCTCAGACCTCACTAGGGATAGGAGGAGTTTCAGGACATGCCCTGGACTGGAAATTGGCCATGGCAACAATAGAGGAGCCCTGCTGCAGCTCTAACTGAGCTGTTTCTTATCTCTCAAAGCCTCTTCATAAGGAAATGAGAAGGCTCGGGGGATTGTATCATACCTTAGCCAAAACCCACACATCAAATATATGTATATAAGCACCCTCTGTCAATTTACAAAGATCACACTTATTCTCTGTTATGGCTACATAGTACAGTGTGGATATACCATGTTTTTGTTCAATTGATATATTGATGGGCATTTATGTATTGTTGGGTCTGTGTCTTCAGGGTACGTCCTAAAAAGTGGAATTACTAGGTCACAGATAAATGCATATTTAGTTTGGTAATTATTTGCCAAATTTTGTAAGGTAGCACTGTGAGAATTTTTTCATCCACGTGCTTAAGTGATATTGGAACTAAATAATATTCTCAAGTAATAAAATAATAAATTAAGTCTTTTTCAGCTACCTTACCTGGTCTAAATAACAATGTTATACTGGGTTCATAAAAACACTATTGCAAGTTGTGTTTCATTTTTCATGCTCTGGAATAACTTAGGTGATGAAGTTTATATGTTTGCAAGAGTACAGAAATAGTGTAGTCAATCCTCCAGGTATTCATTTCCCAGCTTCAGCCATTTCAACCCATGGCCAATCTTGTTTCACCTATATCCACCCTCAGCCCCCAGAATATTTTGAAGCAATCATCTATAACTATATGTATGTTATTATGTACCTTTACAGGGTAAAGCTCTTAATTACACACGTAACCACCATACTCCAGGGACACTGCTAGGCAGAGTTCCAAGATGGCCTACCAGACTCCTGACTCTGGGTGTACACACATTTTCCACCAGCTAATTAATCAAACACTAATCTAGGTGCTGCTGTGAGGGATTTTGCAAATGTAATTGAGGTCCCAAATGAATTGCTCTTAAAACAGAGAGATTATCCTCCAGGGCCAAACCCAATCAGGTGAATCCTTAAATCAGACTGGCTATTTCCTGGGGAGAGAAATTCAGAGTGAGAGGGGGCTTCTTCTTTGCTGGCTTTGAAGATAGAGCGAGCTGCAAAGCATTTCAAGGACCTAAGAGTAACCTGAGAATGACCCCTACCCAACACCTAGCAAGAAAATGGGCACCTCAGTCCTTCAATTTCCGGTAACTTAATTCTGTCCCTAACCTGCATGGTACTGGAAGGAGCTCTTGAGCTCCATGTCAGAATACAGTTACCTGATACATTGATTGAAGCTTTGTGAGGTTTCTGATCCAGGGAACCCAGCTACTCTGTGCCCGGAACTCTGACCTACAGAACTGTGAGATACTAAGTGTGTGTATTTTGAAGCTGTTAAATTTGTGGTAGTTTGTTATTAAGTAAACTAATATACACACTCAAAATTTTTATCTATGGATCCTTTTTTCTTTCCTGTAATTAGTCTTTTAAGATTTATTCTCTTGGCCCTCACAGATCTAATACAGTATTATTAACCATTAATGTTCATTCTGTACATTAGATCCTCAGGGCTTACTTTATATCTAAAAATTTGTACCTTTTGGCAACCTTCACCCATTTGCCCAGCTTTCACCCCCTGCCTCTGGCAACCAGCAATCTGTTCTCTGTATCTATGAGTTCATTTTCATGTGTTTTTCTTTTAAAGATTCCACAGATAAGTGATACCATATAGCATTTGTCTTTCTCTGTGTTGAAAACTTTCAGTTGAAAGAAGATTGCTTGAAAATTACCACTTATTTCGTTTAGCATAATGCCCTCCAGTTCTGCACATGTTGTCACAAAAAGCAGGATTTCTGTTTTTTTATGGCTGAATGATATATCCTTTCCTGTGTGTGTGTGTGTGTGTATCAATTTTCTTTATCCACTCATTCATCAATGTGCACTTAGGTTGTTTTCATGTCTTGGCAATGTAAATAATGTTGCAGTGAACGTGGCGGTACAGTTATCCCTTCAGGTTAGTGGTTTTATTTTCTTTAGATAAATACCCAGTAGTGGATTTGCTGGAAAATAAGGCAGTTTTATGTTTAATTTTTTGCAGGAATGTCTATAGTGTCTTCTATAGAGGCTGAAAATATACATTCCCTTAAAATCACCCATTCTTGAGTAATCTAAGGACATCCAGGTACATAACTTTTAAATTTAGGACAAGAAACTCCAAATGGCATAAGGCAAGTCCATAAGTTACAAACTTTTACTTTTTTCTCCCTATTTTCTGATACATCTATTTTAGTATGGGTTTTTCTTTTCCCATTACAAGGGAAATCCTCATTTTCATGCTACACAGTCGTATTGAGGATCACAAAAGCGATTTAAGGATTTTCAATGTTTATTTAAAGATGCAAAGCTCTTACTCCTAAAGCTGATACACAGCTAGTGTATTCTGAATCTAAATAAACTTTCTGTTGAAGAGTGCCTCTTGAAAATTGCCCCCAAAATAAGCCAACAATACATTTATTGTGCACATCAGGAATACTGGTCAACATGCATTTCCAACCACACTGTGAAGAATCCACCTCAGACCTCATTCAGGGTGAGATAAAACTGGATGTGGCTCCGGATCGCCTAGTGACCTCTCAAAGGGACTAATTTGTGCTTAGCAATGAAAACTAAACAATATGCTATTCCATTCCCTTCTTACACTCCTATGAAGCTGTTCCTTATGAAGTGGAGAGTATTTCACCCTTTTCTATTGATAATTTCTCCTACAATCTATAATTGCATGGGCAAAGGTAGGGGCTTCTTTGCCTAAACATGCCCAGCGCAAGTATGAAGACTTTCAAGGAGCCTCTTGAAAATTGCCCCCAAAATAAGCCAATTAATGACTGGGTAAAATAAAAGCCATGAAATGAGTTACGATGCACCAGGATTTATATTCTCAAACATTCTTGAAAAACATAAGCAAATCCAGGTTATATATGAGATAAATTTACAAAAGACTAAATATAGTAAGGCTAACAAGAAGTGACCAGTTTCATAGATATACTACATCTTTATCCATCGTTTACAGATAGACACTTAGTTTGTTCCCATGTCTTGGCTGTAACAGGCAATGCTGGGTACAGTATAGGGAATACAGCCAGTAACATTGTAATGACTGCCTATGGTTCAGATGGGTAGTAGGCTTATGGGCATGGGAACATTGTAAGTTATATAAATGTCTAATCACTATGTTGTACACTTGACACTAATATAATCTTTATATAAATGTCTAATCACTATGTTGTACACTTGACACTAATATAATCTTGTCGTCAACTGTAATTGAAAAAAATTAAAACAACAGTAGCCAATTTTTATTTTATCTATCGATCTTTCTATATTTCTATCTACTGCTCCCAACTACTCTGGTGTGAAGTTCTTTCATATCTCAATATATATTCCCATCCTAAAGCCATGTTATCCTGTTGGATTTCCAATTTCTATTAAAAAAATGACAAAGCTCTTATTCCTAACCTAATAAATGGTAATAAATGTGCGATCCATGACATTTATACACTTATATACTTATATTCTGGATCTAAGTACACATTCTGTCTAAAAGTATACTACTTGAAAATGCAAAAAAATCCCCCACCAACCAAACCAAACCAAACAACCCAAAAAGATAAGCCAATGAGATATTTTGTATAATAGGAAACTGTGCAACAGGCCTTTCCATTCAAAGAGTGAATACTCCACCTCGACGTCACTGAGGGTGAGGAGAACTGCTGAATGTGGGCCTGGAGGGCCCACTGGCCTTGGAAGGAATGCCAGGCCTGGCTGCAGCTTGTGCTCTCTCTTCCTCTTCTTTCAAAGCCTCTTCATAATGGGGTGTGTAGGCAGAGGGGACAGTATCATTGAGCTCGGCCATAAATTCCAGGACTTTCATCTTGCTGGTCTCAGCTTCGGCTCTTGGACCCCAAAGGAACTCATAGCGTGGAGGATCACTGCTGGGTACCTGCTGGTACACCAGGTATTTTTCCTGCACCAAATCTTGGGTGATGACTTTTCTAGGCTCTCCAAACATGAAGTGACTCTTTCCATCAAAGATGCCCAAATCATTCAGAAATTCCCAGATCTCCTCCTCAGATGCACGGTTGCTATTCAAGAGGATCACACCCAGGACAGGCATAAGAATCCCTTTGTTAGGAAATTTGAAGCCGCTGCTCTGATGCCCAACACTGCTGTCACCTTGACTGCTGATCAGGGTGTAGTAGTTACTGTTAGGCTTGACTTCTTTCACTTCTAGGCCAAAGAACTGATCCATGCGCTCAGAGGCTCTCCTGAGGATCTCAGGGAAGTCCTTCCTGAACCATTTGTGGACTATCTTCAGCATGTCTCCCTTTCTAATGGGCTCCTTCCTTTTATACTGACACAGCAGGTACTCTATCAACATAATCGCCTTCTGAGTGAGAAGATCTTGGCCAGAGCTCTCAGTGGAAGTTGAGGCCTGGGAGGAATTTTTACTCTTCCTACCATGGCCTTTGGCTTTTACAGCAGATCTCTCACATGATGCACCTGCAGCGGCACCGGTGGTTGCTGGGGCACTTGGCCGTGCCTGGAGAGTGCCAGCAGCAGTGAAGCTTGAGGGAGGCTCCCCCAAAAGAGAAGAGGAGGAGCAAGCAGCCTCTCCTTCCTCTCCTCTAGGGGCCTGAGCACTCTCATCACCTTGGTTCTCAGCTTTATTTTGGCGGCGTTTGTCACGAGCACGGAGCTTACTCTTCTGACCACGAGGCATGATGGCTGTTGTTCGGAACAGCAGACAGGAATGTGGGCCAATGGACAGCTGGTTTGGGCACCTGGTGGACGGAAAGCAAGATGATGTGATCACCTTTAACAGTTGGATTCCACCTTGCCTTTACTGAAGGCTGCCTCTGCAGGCTTCCTTGACGGCAATACTAGGATACCAAGAGACTCCTGTTCTTGTCAGTCTGTCCTCTAAGAATCTCACAGAGAAACCAGAGAAACTTTAGAGTAATTCCCATGCTATGTCCTATCAGTCTTGCCCTCACTTTCCTCAAGTGTCAGTAGGTGATGTCAGTGTGGCCCCATATATTCTGGCATATGGGGCTCTCTTCGTTCTTTCTCAGTATTATTGTGTCATCCCTGGGCAGAGCCTGGGCACCCTCCATTCTGCTACTCTAACGTGGACACCTCAACGCTCCCTGGGACACGGGAGAAGGAACCGGAGTGGAGGCTCAGTCCACCTCCCTATCAGGGGAACCCAATGCTGAGAGCTTGTGTGGTCTAATGCGTCCTGAGTTCATTTGGATTCACAGCTGTTAGTCAAGCTTCTCACCTTGGCTCCTTGTAAGGCTTGAAACCACTTTCCTGAAGCTGATTGTTGGCCGCACCTTCAGAGTAAGGATCTCACCTCCCTTAGACCTGAGAAAACAAA